GTTGGTGGTTGGCATCTATTCAGAGCACCCTGGAAGAAAGACCTGGCAATCCATTTCTGGGAAATCAGCCACTGAAAACCCTAGCGGTCAGCTCAGGCATAGATGGGGCCGCTGTGACTGGCAGCAACACGCTAAGGCCTGTAGTAATGCCCTCTTTCAGTCCTGAGATTAGCACTTGTGTCTTCTCTCTTTTAGCTTAGTCAAAATACAGGATTATTTTATTCATCTTCCTAAAGAATTCTGCACTCACAAAGTATAAAAACCAAATCCAAACTCATTTCTATTGAGTCAATTCAGAATCGGTGACCTGATAGAACAGGTAGAACTGCCCTGTGAATGTCTGAGACTTTAACTCTTTACAAAAGTAGTGTTTTCGGGTACAAAAGATATCTAATCTCAAAAATAATTTAAGGAGAACATTGATTAGGTCTTAAAAAGGACAAAAACAACACAAAAAATGGACACGTCATCTGGATGCGGGAGGCCATGTTAGCCAGAGGTCAAAGTGGCATCCAGGGGTGTGTTACTCTGGGTAGACTAGAGAAAGAAATCCAGGGAGACTCTCATGTGTATAAGAAAGAGGTTTTTATACAAGAGCAATTAAATGTTGAGAAAACGCCCCAGCCCAGTCCAGATCAAGTCCATAAATCCAATATTAACCCATATGTCTGATTAACCAATCTATGATGTCCTCTTCAGACTCACAAAACACATGCAATGCTGCAGAACACAGGAAGATCACAGTCCAGTAGGTTGTAAGTCTTCTGGATCCAGTAGCGTTGTAAGCATCTCAGCGCTGGCAGGGGTCTTTAGGTGGTTTCTCCGGCTCAGAGGTCTGGTTGCATCAGGGTAGGTCCATGTGGCTTCGCCAGCTCCCAGGGCATCACGCCATGTGTCTTGTCACTAAAGCATCTTCAAGGGAATGACCTGAGAGAGTCTGTCTCCCACCTCCAATGAGAAAATCCAGGAATTCCCAGAATCCTTAGGGGAAGGCCATGATCACATGGAGGCCTCATTAGCTATATCCTGATTGACAGCCAAGACTCCACCCCTACACTCTTAATCCTCAAATTGACACCAGATTATGTAACTACCACAAGGGGTTGTTGAGATACAACGCTTTTTTGTAAAATTAATGTTTTACCACAGTGCTTTTTCTTTATAAATCATCTTATAAGGGGCTCTTATAACAATCCATACATCAATTGTATTAAGCACATTTGTACATATGTTGCCATCATCATTTTAAAAACATTTTCTTTCTAATTAAGTCCTTAGCATCAGTTTTATCCCTCCTCCTCCCCCATTGAACCCTAGATAAATTATAAATTATTATTTTCATATCTTACACCACCTGTTGTTTCCCTTCACCCACATTTCTATTGTTCGTCTCCCTAATGGGAGGAGGCGGGGTTAAATGACAATCTTTGTGAATGACCCCTTTCTTCCCCTTCTCCCCACCACCTTCTCCCTACCCTCACTATTCCCATTACTGTTCCTGGGGGGTTTATCTGTCCTGGATTTTGTGTGTAGAGAGCTCTTATCTGTCTCAGTATACATGTTCCAGTCTAACCAGGTTTGTAAGGTTGAACTGGGGTCATGATAGTGGGAGGGGAGGAAGTATTAAAGAACTAGAGGAATATTGTGTGTTTCATCAGTGCTATACTGTACTCTGGCTGACTCGTCCCTTCCTTGTGACCCTTCTGTGAGGGGATGTCCAATTATCTACAGATGGGCTTTGGTCTCCACTCCGACCCCACTCATTCGCATCAGTATGATTGTATTGGGTGTTCTGATGCCGATACCTGATCCTGTCAACACCTCATGATCACATAGACTGGTGATCACAGGACACTGTCCAGTCCTGCACCATCTTCCATGTAGGCTTTGTTGCTTCCCTGCTGAATGGCCACTTGTTTAATTTTAGCCTTTAAGACCCCAAATACTATATCTTTTAATAGCCGGGCACCATCAGCTTTCTTCACCACATTTGTTTATGCACCCATTTTGTCTTCAGTAATAGTGTCAGAGAAGGTGAGCATCACAGAATGCCAGGTTATTAGAACAAAGTGTTCTTGCATTGAGGGAGGACTTGAGTAGAGGCCCAATGTCCGCCTGATTCCTTAATACTTAACATAAATATATGTACATAGACCCATATTCCTATCATTTATATATTAATATATTTACATGTGTATGTGCCTTATAAAGCTTTAAAAAGGGGAACTGATTACAAGGAACTATATGTGACCTCCTCCCTGGGGGATGGACAACAGAAAAGTGGGTGAAGGGAGACAAAAGACAGGGCAAGATATGACAAAATATTAATTTATAAATTATCAAGGGCTCATGAGGGAGGGGGGAGCGGGGAGGGAGGGGAAAAATGAGGACCTAATGCCGGAGGCTTAAGTTGAGAGGAAATGTTTTGAGAATGCTGAGGGCAATGAATGTACAAATGCGCTTTACACAATTGATGTATGTATGGGTTGTGATAAGAGTTGTATGAGCCCCTAACAAAATGATTTTTATAAAAAAAGCTTTAAAAAGGACATGAGATGGCAAAGGATACTTTCACAAAAAACATGATTGGTGGCAGATCAATATTCCACAGTTGGGCATATGGTAGATTTGTTTTGGAAGCGGTTCAATGGCACTTAAGAACATGACTATGTGAACACCTGTACTGTCCCCAGTACAAGTGACTTCCATTAAGGACACACCCAGACTATCCTTTTAAGAGCTACTACCCCTCCCTGGGCTGGCGGTGGTGGGTGGGAATCCACTTTCCAATGCGCTCTGTCTGAGGGCGAGCTTAGCTATGTCCGTGATTAATGATCAGGAAGAATTTATCTGAATGGGTGCGCTGCAAATGGATTTTGGGCTGTCAGTCAGCCGTATCCTACTGCAAGCTGGGGTGCTCGCACTGTAAGCTCAATAATAGAATGCCTCGTTTCAAACCAACCATGCAGTTAGCAGTCCCAAACTTATCCGTTACGTTCCCAGGACTCCTTTTGAAATCGTGGAGAGTTACACAAACGCGTGCAACTCCAGAGTCACAGATATCTATTTACCTTAAAGAAATGAAAACTGTCATACACACAAAAAAGTGGCCATAGCCTCAGCCCCCCATTAACAGTGTGTTGTTGTCAGAAATTAAGCATCACTGACAAAGTTACAAAGTACTTAAAATCACAGAAGAACGCTGCGAGTACCCAACTCATCTGCTGAAGACGCGGACACGTCCCACGCGGAAGTCCTCCCAGCTGGCCAACAGCCCCCTCCGACGGCTTCAGCGCGGAGCATCCCGCGCATGCGCAGTCCGGCCGCCGAGCCGGCGGGCCCCGCCCCGCAGTGCATGCTGGGAAAGCCGGCCCGCCCCTTGGCTTCCGGCGGGAGGGTGGCGCTCGCCTCTGCTCGGGCGCACCCGGGTTCCTGTTTCTGGGCTCGCGGCGGAGGCGTTTCTGCCCGCACCTCCGTTTTCGCCTCGCGCGGGGTCCTCGCGCCGCACGCCGCCAGCATGTCCGGGGTTCGCGCGGTGCGGATCAGCATCGAGTCGGCCTGCGAGAAGCAGGTCCAGGAGGTGGGCCTGGATGGCACCGAGACCTACCTGCAGCCGCTGTCCATGTCGCAGAACCTGGCGCGGCTCGCCCAGCGCATCGACTTCAGCCAGGGCTCGGGCTCCGAGGAGGAGGAGGCGGCGGGCGCCGAGGGCGACGCGCAAGACTGGGCGGGCGCCGGGTCGAGCGCCGACCAGGACGACGAGGAAGGTAGGACCCTGGACAGGACAGCGCTCTACCCCACAGGGACATTACTGTGCTGGCCCGCCTGAGATGCTGTGGGCGGAGTGCTTGGAATGGACACCCGTGGGGAATCATCGTGCGCTCTTCATCGGCGGGGTATTTAGACAGCCGCACAATACTTTTAATGTTCATCCTTTTGCGGGACTTCTTCCTTAAAAAAAAAAAAATCAGTGTCACAAATGTCCAGTTGTTTAGGCTTCTAAAGCTTTCTACTCCCGTAAAGTTTTACAGGCCTGAAAACCCACAGGGGCAAGTTTTACTCTGCCCTATAAGGTCGCTGAAAGTCAGAATTGACTCAATGGCAGTGAGTTGATTTTTAATTTAAAAATTATTTTATAATAATTCTAGAAGAAAAAGTATAGGAACCGATAGGCGAGGGGGAGAAATACAGCACTCTAGTGGGGTCAGGGTATTCATTGAGATACTGATGATTGCAATATACATTGCAGTCAACATACCACAGATTCATATTCTGCCAAATACTTAACAGAACTATAAACAGTCAAAAGCAGACCTAAGCTTTACCCTAGAGCTCATAATTGCATGCCTTTGGACAGAGACCAGCTTTGGGCAAGAGTTACGTACAGTTACTTAACTCTGTAAACACCACAGATGCTAATTACTACTTGATCTTTAGTTCCAACAACCTAAAAATCATGTTCTAAGATTAATTCTTTTCACATACATGACAACTTGTACATTTGTAAATACAGGTACGTGTAGGAGAAGAACATTAAGAAAAGAAAAATATAGTGAGGATTTTTAAAAATCAGTTTTATTGGGTGCTTGTACAACACTTATCACAATCCATCCATTGTGTTATGTTGTACAACCATTATTTATACCCATTTCCAAATTATTCCAACACCATTAACCAACTCAATGCTTTTTTAAAGTAGTTTTTATCATATAATATTCACATATCACACTTCCATGATTAAGCCGCTTTTAAAAAGAGTTGTATATACATCATCACAGTTAGTTCTAGTGCTCCTTCCTCCCTGCCCCATTCATTGCTTGCTACCTGAATCCCCAACCCCTCAATCCCCCCTCCACATCCCCAATAAACCATTGCATTAGTTATTGCCTCGATGCTTTCACTCCTGTGCTTTACAAACTGGGGAACCCAACAGAACCAATGAGAAACCAAAACAAAACGGAAGAAGGAAATAACAATAATATATAGCATAATAAAGACAAGGTTGCCATCACTATTTAAAAGGCCGGAGAAGCAATTTCTGCCCTGGAACAGGTGAGAAATACTGCAATCTAGAGCAAATTCAGGTTGGGCTTCACATGGAGATCACCTGACCAATTATCGTATTGTACCATGGTTTGATCCGCCATAATCAAGTTTTCAGTAATCTCTGCCTGTTAATAGCTGTTCAGGTCCCTCGCCTGTGACTAGAGAGGATCTGCCAGAGGCTAAATCTGACTAGATAGTCTACAGATAGATTTGGGCTCCCACTCTCTTCTGTAGCCTTCTGCAAATTAGGTGTTCATAATTTCAGCTCTGATACTTTCCCCTTCTATTTGGAGTTTTTTATTGTTATCTTTGTATCACACAGGCTGATGGGCTTCTGTGTGACTTAGTTGACACCTCTCTTAGCTGGCTGCTTGTTTTAATACAAACTTTGAAGACCCCGGACACTATTCCAATTGATAGCCGGGCACCATCTGCTTTCTTCACCACACGTTTCAGTAGCACCCTTATCTTCAGTGATCATTTCTCGTAGGCGAGTATTGAGCAGGGCCATGTTATAAGTACTAATTGTTCTTGGAGTGGGGCCAGAATTAAGTGGGAGCCTAGAATTGTAACTGCTTGTCCACGGATTATGAATGACTATGGTTTACTTTGGCAGTCAGATTTTGACAAAAACAAAACCCCACACAAACAAAAACAAGAGATAAAAAAACCCCAAAGAAACAAAAAGACAAACATTGTCAATCGTCCCCCTAGGGTATAAAGTGATTGCATTAATAACATCACTAATTTATGTCATAGAATGTAAGATAATGTTGCTGTGAGGACTTAAGCAAGTATAGTCCAGCAGGACAGGGCAGAGTTTTGCTCTGTTGTCCATAGGGTTACTATGAGTGGGAACTGCACCTGGTAACAAAATACTGGGTTTTGTTTGTTTGTTTGTTTGTTTCACGATACTGTTTTCATGCATAAAATGAGAAGTTTACAAAGTGGTGTATCCAACATTAAGAATGTGAATTGGTTGAGCTTTTCAGAAGCAGTTTAGTCCTATCATAAAGTTTAAAATGTCCATGTCAGTTGATTCACATATGTCACAGCTAAAAATTTAAGTTATATTAAAAAACGTGCATGCACATAGATATGTGGTCAAGATGTTTACTGTAGAATTGATGGAAGCAAGTTACACTGTCTTTGCACGGACTGATTGAGTTTATTTTACATGCCAGCTCCAGAATTCCATGTTATTCTTGGTTGCCTTGACACCATTTCCTGGGCACTCTTGCAGGGCCTCCTGGCTGGGTCACAGTCTCACACAGCATTACCACAGGATGAAGTAGAAGGACATGTACTCATGAAAACGTGTCCCCTGTTCCCCCTCCAAAAATTCCTACTGTGGTTGAGTCGTTGCTGACTCATAGCAACCACGAGGCCACCAGGGGTCCTGGAAGTGTCTCTGGGACATACTGTTAGTGGGAGGGGGACGCATATTATGTGATTGGGGACCCTGGTGCCTTAGTGGTGGGGCTCTCATGTTCCGTGCCCGAGACCCAGGTTCATTTCTTGCTCCCTGCACCTCAGTGTGAAGCCTCCACCTGCCAGTCCATGGAGGCTTATGTGTTGATGCCGAACAGGTTTCAGCCGAGCTTCCAGACTAAGATGGACTAGAAGGTTTTCAGTCATGAAAACCCCGTGAATCACAACCATCTGGTTCCCATGGGTATGGCGCAGAACTGAGCACTATTTTGTTCTCTCATGTGTGGGGTCCACATGAGTTGGGGACCTCCCTCCATGGCAGCTGACAACATGTATGTAAATGCAGAGGGGACCATCTGGAAGGCTATCCCTGACTGTTCATAGAGGTTACTTCTCAAGAGAGGAGAGGGACAATGTAAGAATACTTTGTTCTATTAAACCAGCATTCCATGATGCTCACCTTCCCAGCAGGATCACTGAAGACAAATGAGTACATAAGCAAATGTGGTGAAAAAGCTGATGGTGCCCTGTTATCAAAAGATACAGAGTCTGGGGTTTATCTTGAAGATAAACAATTGGCCATCTAGCTCATAAGCAACAAAGCCCACATGGAAGAAGTACACCAGCCTGTGTGATCACGAGTTGTC